GTTATTACCTCTGACATCTTAATGTTTCCTTTGCTCTTTTCCAGGTTTCTAATACCTATTTAACTCATTCCTACATTCAAGTTTCTTAATGTGATTTCTGCCTTTTTTAATGGCTGGACCCTGACATAATAACTGAATATGATTTAGGCCTCTACCCATTTACTCTCTAACTTATTACTGCATTTCTTCATAGACTTTTCATAATCTGTATTAAAAAAATTTTTTTGGCTTTCTCATAATCTATCTCCTCCAGTTGGACATCAGTCTTTGTCTCATTCATCACTGTATCCTCATTGCCTAGCATGGAGACTGGCATACTACTGTAAACACTTAATAAATGCTTATTTAATAAATTATTGAATTATTATAAAAGACTACAGGAGAAATACTGGTAACTGACCATACAAAGTGGCCAGAATGGAGCAATTCTTTAGCCTTTTGGTTCTAGGCCAAGTTACTGATGTGCTCTGCAACAATGTACCTTTCTGTTAGAGTCAAGTTTGTATTTCTTATAAGCATGTTAAAATGTAGTGTATTATTTAACTTCGATCCATCATCATTGGAGTAACAAGATACAAGTTTATCTGCTTTGAATTCTGCACTTACATAAATCTCCACTTTCTATAATTGAAAATAGTAATGATTTACCTTGTTAAGGCTGCATGAAGATCAAGAGTTTGTTATGGGTTAAATCCAAAAGGTTTTGTTGGCAAAATTTTAAAAATGAAAGCCATCTGAAGAATATGCTTGTTATAATATGCAACATCACTTAATAGCATTTACTTGTAAATTTAACCTGCTTATATTCTTTTTTTTTTTTCCATTGTGTGATATGGTTTGAAACAACCTACACATAGAACCAAAAAAGCAGGTTAAAAAGAAACTGCTTAACTTCCACACAGCTATAAGCAATAATCTAAAAACATCTACTACAGTCTTTTATTTAAATATCAACTACTAAGACAAAGAATACATCATGTATGTGTAATTCTAAAATAATTTTGGTTAAATAAATACAAATATATTAGATGATATTGAGACTTCCACTGTGTCAAATAGAACCATTTCATCGAACCTTAACTTTTAAATTAAATGGGAGAACATATTTGCCAATGATACATCTGATAAGGGGTTAATTTATAAAATAATGGGCAAAGGAACTGACGACACTTCTCCAATGGCCAACAGACATATGAAAAAATGCTCAAGCTGAGTAATCATCAGAGAGATGCAAATTAATACCACAATGAGATAATACCTCACAACTGCAGCGTGGCTACCATCAACAAATCAACAAACAGTAAGTGCTGGCAAGGATGCGGAGAAAAAGGAACCCTAGTGTACTATTGGTGGGAATGCAGATTGGTGCAGTCACTGTGGAAAACAGTATGGAGTTTCCTCAAAAAATTAAAAATGGAACTTCCTTATAACCCAGCAATCCCACTTCTGGGAATATAGTCTAAAAAACCGGAAACACTAAATGGAAAAAAATATGCACCCCCATGTTCACTGCAGCATTATTTACAATAGCCAAGATCTGGAAACAGCCCAAGAACCCGTCACTAGATGAATGGATAAAAACGGCCTGGTTGGCCAGTTTGGCTCAGCGGTTAGAGCGTGGGCCTGCGGTCCAGAGAGACCCGGGTTCAGTTCCCACTAAGGGCATGTACCTTGGTTGCGGTTTGTCCCCGGCCCTGGTTGGTTGTGAGGGTGGCAGCCACTCGATGTGTCTCTCTCACGTTGATGCTTCTCTTTCTCTCTTTCTTCCTCTCCCTCCCTCCCACTCTATCTGAACAAAAAATGGAAAAAAATGTCCTCGGATGAGGATAAAACACAAAAACAAAAACAAAAGGCCTGGCTGGTTTGGCTCAGCGGTTAGAGCGTCGGCCCTCGGACCAGAGAGTTCCGGGTTCGGTTCCCACTAAGGGCATGTACCTCAGTTGCAGTTTGTCCCTGCCCCAGTTGGGGTCATGTGGGTGGCAGCCGGTTGATGTGTCTCTCTCACATAGATGTTTCTCTCTCTCTCTTCCTCTTTTTCTCCTGCTCTATCTGATGATAAATGGGAAGGTGTCCTCGGGTGAGGATAAAAACAAAACAAAACAAAAAATATATATACACTATGGAATACTACTGGGGGGGGGGGGGCGTAAATCTTACCTTTTGCAACAGCATGGATGGACCTGGAGATTATTATGCTAAGCAAAATAAGGTAGTCAGAGAAAGACAAATATATGATCTCACTTATATGTGGAACCTAATGAACAAAATAAACTGACAAACAAAATGGAAACAGAGGCATGGATACATAGAACAGACTGACAGCTGTCAGAGGGGATGGGGGTTGGGGAGCTGGATGAAAGAAGATGAAGGGATTAAGCAAAACACACACACACACACACACACACACACACATATCACATAGATATAGACACAGACAACAATGTGGTATTAGCCAGAGAAAAAGGGGGGTGGGGAGTAGGTGGAGGTGAATGAAGTGGGGCGTGGGGACAAAAAGAGACTTTGCTTGGGGCCATGGGCACACGATGCAGTGTGCAGAAGTTTTGTTGAGTTGTTCATTTGAAACCTGTGTAGTTTTGTGAACCAATATCACCGCAATAAATTCAATAAAAAAATTAATTTCCTTTGTATCTATTTCAAATGTATTCATATTTTTCCCGTTTTCTAACTCAGAAGGAAAAATGTTTCTTTTCTTTTCCAGCTAATTGGAACACCAGGGTCCTTAAATCCAGCCCTTCCTTCCTCTTCTTTCTCCATTTGGAACCTTACTCTTGAATTTTTAATATGCCTACTAACTGTTGTTTCTTTCTCAAAACCCACCAACAAAAATGTTTCCTCTCCCTTGTTATGGGTTCAAGGTACCATCTCGTGTCTATTTTCCTCATGCACAAGTTCCAAAGAACACATATTTATGACTTCTATTTTGCAATCTGGCTTTAGCCCTTAACCCATTATTAAAATTGTACTCTTATAGCTCATGAAAAATTGCCTAATCAATAAATCTTTCTGAGCCTTTATCTTTCTTGACATTTCTTTTTTAGAGTTGATTATCCTTCCTTTTTGAAACTCTCCTCCTTGGTTTTTGGGACACTGTTCTACCTGGTTTCTTCTCTTCTCCAAAATGCTCTTCCTTTCATTCCATTCCATTCATGCCTTTTTCTTCCAACACTCCAAACTAAGATGCTCCCAACGGTCCTGTGTCATCTTCTCTATCAATTTTCTGTTTCTATAGCTTAGTGTTTAAGAGCATGGACTCTGAAGCCAGATTGTTACTGAATCCTGACTCCTCTTCTTACTAGCTGTATGACCACGGACAAGCTGCTTTATCTTTCTGTGCCTTAATTTCCTCATTTGTACTGTAGAAATAATAATCGTTACAGAGGTGTTATGAAAATCAAATAAAAAGTGCCGGGCATATAGGAAGCTCTATATAATGTATTCCATTGAACAAATACTTACTGATACCTACACATATATACATATGCCAGGAAATCTCCTAAGGATTTGGGGATAATATAAGGGAATAAAATAAACAAAAATTCTTTCCTTTATAGAGCCTACATCTTATAATAAAGATACTTATTATTAATTATCCATAATTCTGTTTCATCTTTAAAATTGCACACTTTCTTTAAGACCAACTGAAACACCATCTTATCCCTTGAAATCTTACCTTGCAGGAGGTTATCATTTAAACTCCTCCAACTCTTTAAATCTGAATTATATAATTTATCACACTCTACCATGTATTTTCAAGTAGAAAACATTTCAAATATTATGGTTATTTACATGTGTTTTTATTATCTCCCTTGATGGAGGTTAATGTTAGCTACTATCTCTATTCATCTTTGTAAATAGTAGCATGATATACCTTGTACCCAAACACACATTAGATGCTCAGTAACTATTTATTTATTTATTTTATCCTCACCCGAGGACATTTTTCCATTTTCTACTCAGATAGAGCAGGAAGGAGAGAGAGGAAGAGAGAGAAACATCGATGTGAAAGGGACACATCGAGCGGCCGCCACCCACACAACCCAACCAGGGCCGGGGACAAACTGCAGCCAAGGTACATGCCCTTAGCGGGAACCGAATCCGGGTCTCTGTGGACCGCAGGCTGACACTCTAACCCCTGAGCCAAACCGGCCAGGGCTCAGTAACTATTTTTTGAGTGAATGTAGGTAAAGCACTGTTCATGATCTTTCATTTGACCTCTATTAACTAACTTATGTTCTTTAATGACAAATATAAAGAAAACTTAAAATACAGAACACTGTATTTTCAACTTTGGAAATATCAAATATTAGAATCAAATATTTGTTGTTTACAACTTGGCTTTATTCTTCACCATCATTTGGCACCTTGTTTATTAGGAGGCCAATTTTGGCTGTTTGCTTTACTAAGTATACCCTACAGCATATCCAATACCCTATTATCAACATTTGAAAAGTGCCCCGAATTTGTATTCAAGGAGCCATGTGGACTGAGCATATTTCATTTGTTGCATTTTCTATGATCAGCACAGACTTTTCCTATCTCTCACTTCCTTTCTAACATGATCAAAACATTTCTAGGTACCTATCTGAAATTTCCTGGTTCACTATTTATGTTTTTCCCTTTCATTCCAAAGAACTGTAGATGTTTAAAATTTGTTTTTATGTCATCTAAAATAAGAATTTATTTTTTTCCTCCTAAATTATCAACTATCTTTCCTCTAAATTTGCTTGTTATTCTCCAACTATGACTGGAAAGCCCAGAACAACCACAGGTTCTCCACTGTTTTCTAATTTGTATTTTCACAATGCCACAGATCACAATACTGTAGTAAAATATAGTTACATCATACCACATTTTACATCTTCTTTATATCACTTAAACTTGCTAAGGCATCTTAAATGTGCCTTTTATCCAGGCAGAACCCCATCAGAATGCATGACAATGTTCTCTTTTCTTAACAAGGCCAACACAATGGATTTTATATAATGATCAAGGATTTTTTATTCATTAAGTTTCAGTATCATTACAGAAAATGTTATGGTACAGAGTTGTTTATCGTTATTTTTTCTTTGCTCTTGATTTCCACGTGAATGCTGGTAACACTAATATCTGTACAAGATCAGTCTTTGATTTTATTTTTTGTTCTGTACAACTTTAAATGTATTGGTTAAAAAGGCTGTCAGCACTTAAGGAAGCATTTTTCTCCCAGTTTGTTTGTTCAAATAAAAAGTATCCAGTTACTGCCCAAGAGTACTGTGCCACGAGGCTACTGGGGCGAGAAACTTCCCCGGAAGCTCTGCAGGGATGTTCTCCTGGAGGCAGGGCAAGGCCCCCAGCCACTCTTCTTTTGGCACTGTGCACATAAACACGATACATGATAAAGAACAAGCGAAAGCTCTCTGTAAAGCGGTTATGAAGCATACTAAGAAGGGAATCCAAGTGTTGCCTACGCTAGTATAAATAAGCAGACAGCCTTGATTTAAGAGCATAAGTAGTTGTTTAAAGATGAGAAAAACACAAGTTCTGCAGGCACCTACTGCTGTCTACTAAAAGCTATCGCTATCAGACCTAGCATTGAACACACAAAGCAATTTGCAAGAAAGGAAAAATTTGCTTTGATATAATCAGAATAGAGTTGTCTGTTTTAAGATTTATTTTTAGGTGTTTTTTTCTTTAAAAGGTATTTAAATTCTTTTGAAATATAGTTCAAGATGTTGACTATACAGATCAACTTTTATCCAAATCAGAAAAACTAGCTGTGCCGTTGCATATTACAGGATACAGTCAATGATATGTGGACATGCATCAAAGCTTTCTCCCGCTGGCGACCATCATAGTCGTCCGATGACCATGACGTCCACCACCTCGCCCTTGTGGAGCTCCACGTACTGCTCTGTCTTTGGAGGTAGCATCAACAACCCATTGGCGCTGCGCATGCTCATCAGACGGCTGCTCATCTGATTACCTAGAAAGAAATACTCTCGTTACAGCAGCATAAGCATCATCACAGTGGATATATCTAGAGCCCTTGCAGTTCTTTTCAAAGAGCCCATGAATCGAGCACAGGTCTTCAAGAAGAAGGGAGATGATCAGACGTCCCTGTACTTTTTTTCAGGTAGCCTTGCTACTGTATCCTACTACCTCCCCACTAAGCACTAAAAAGAAATGTTAGAAATGGTTGCTGAAAAGAATAAAATCAGGATTTTATAGCATTTTATGCAAAATGCCACAAAATTTCTCTATTCAGGCTGAAATGTTATGTATGTCTGAAAAGAGAGGCTTTTAAAACCTATTAAAATAATAATAGCAGCAGCTATCATTTCTTTAGTGGTATGTACTAAGTGCCACACAAGGTAGTAGGCACTTTACTTAACTATCTTATTTAATTCTCACAAGATTCAAAAGAGTTGAGGTAACTTGCTTGGGGTCCTACTTACTACCTGGTGGCTCATGTGAATTCAAGTTTCTGATGGCAAGGCCCTGGACTTAGTTATAGTGTTAGTTGATATCTGCACTTGATAAGAATTTTGTTTAAAGGGAAATACAATTTTACTGACATCACATCAAAAGTTATGTAAGTCGGCCGGTGTGGCTCAGTGGTTGAGTGTCGACCCATGCACCAGAAGTTGCCAGTTCAATTCCCGGTCAGGGCACATGCCCAGGTTGTGGGCCCAATCCCCTTTGGGGGCCTGCAGGAGGGGGCCAATTGATGTTCTCTCTCATAGATGTTTTTATCTCTCCCTCTCCCTTCCTCTCTCTCTAAAATCAATAAAGAAAAATTTTTTTAAAAAAGTTATGTAAAATATGACTAGAGAAGTTGGGGATAAAAGTTTAAAGTCTCGAAGAGGTAATTATAGAACTCTGCAATATCATATTGATTTCTGAGTCCTTAAATTTTACCAATATCTAGTGTACAGTAGAGACCACAGAGAATCACATTGTAATTGGGCTTTAATCTCACATTTCAGGGTGGCATAGCCACAATCCCTCCTCTTCCTACAACCAATGTTATGCTCAGACTTTATCGGTTGAGCAAATAGATAAAAATCTTTTGTAATTCTAGATTTGTGTTTCAGATGCTTATCTAGAAAACATGGCTTCATGGAATAACTAAACCTTAGGTACTATTTTTTTTACTCTTGTTGTCCTGTTATGCTGTACTTTTTAGGAATATTTAACTCATCCAACCTTTCAAGAAGGAAAACGTATGATAATCCCAAATTGGGCATACCCGGGAAGGAGGTTACATGTATAAATGTGTGGGTTGGCAGGATGGGTGCACAGACGTACCTGCAGGTGTGAATGACTAACCTGTACTCTGTGCCCAAGGCAGTGGTTCTTGGTGATGCCAAGTCAGTATACACCGATGGTATTCTGGGCGAGGATCCAGTTTTACATCACATGATAACTATAGAATAAAGAGGAAGAGAAGACAAATTTAATCATTTGATCATCTCTTAAAACTACAGGGTGGTGGAGGTTGTGCAAAGAATACAGTGGACATGAAACGTATGTTGGCATTCTGCCGTTTCCACTACTGCCACCTGATATTCTTAGTACAGGAAGTCCAGAGGTTGGGTTGCTGTGATGAAAAGAGAAAAGAAGTCCAAGAAGTTGGTATTCATAGTGGGGGAAAGGGCAGAGGAAAAAGATAAAGTCTATTTTTGAAGTCTAATTATAGATTATGAGGACAGATACTTCTGACCTACGACTTCAAAAATTGTATCACTCAAAATAAAGAAGACAGATGTAGACAAAAAATAAGATCTATATTCATTTATCTGTATGCCCATCTGTCTGTCTGTCCATTCATCCAGTAAATGTTTATGAGGTGCTGTTCAACTGCCCATCCTATACCTATTTTTAACATAAATGGGATAGCGACTTTCTTTTCCTCTTGAATATTTCCCTAATGTCCCAATACTGACTTACAAGCTTATTAAAGCAACTAAAAGTAGTCTCTACTAAAAGTTATATCATTTTGATTTAGCCACATCACAGGTAATAAGATAATTCCTTTGAAAGAGTCTCTGCTATGAAACGGCCTCTTTCATATTCTTCTAACAAGGATAAGTCCTTTCTATCATAGCAAATTCAGTTCACATACAATGACCAATCACCCTTCAACCTGGAGCCATTTTAAAAAGTCTGTTATTAAATTCATACTGAAATTTGATAAGTTAAAATAATAATTTTGTAGTAGCAGGTACCTACAAAGTATTCTTTTAACAAGTTTATACAGTATATAATTATAGACAATAGCCTAAAGATGAGCTCACTGTTAGTGAAAAAAAGAGTTGTTCCAGTATACAAGAATTAACATTTTTTATTAGCATAATAACAATTTTAGTTACTCCACCTTAAAATGATCTGGAAAGGCTTTATTCGGCTAACAGAGATATTGCTTAGATCAAATGATACAATTAAAATGGAAAATTTTGATTCAAGTAACTCTGTCCCCAATCCATTCTGGTTACTATGTTTTTAAGCATTCTAGTTCACTCTGACAATCCATGCTTTTCCTCTGGAATCCAGAATAAAATTCAGTTCTAGGCTGTTTTCCTTGTTTGTTTATTTATTTATTTATTTAATCCTCACCCGAGGACATTTACATTTTTTGTTCAGATAGAGTGGGAGGGAGAGAGAGAGAGAGGGAAACATCGATGTGAGAGAGACACATCGAGTGGCTGCCACCCACACAACCCAACCAGGGCGGGGGACAAACTGCAACGAGGCACGTGCCCTTAGCGCGAACTGAACCCAGGTCTCTCTGGACTGCAGGCGGACGCTCTAATGGCTGAGCCAAACCAGCCAGGGCTTTTTTCCTTGTTTAAGTCACATTCCACTCTTTTGCTTAATCTTGGCTTATGTTTATTTTATTTTATTATTTTATTTTATTTTTTTGCATTTATCCTCAGATAGAGCGGGAGGGAGAGAGGGAGGAGGGAGAGAGAAGCATCTATGTGAGAGACACATCCAGTGGCTGCCACCCACACGACCCCAATTGGAGCCGGGGACAAACTGCAACCAAGGTATGCACCCACTGCGGGAACTGAACCCAGGACTCTCTGGTCTGCAGGCTGATGCTCCAACCACTGAGCCAAACCGGCCAGGGCTTGGCTTATGTTTATACTCTATTTCATATTTATTGGGGGTTAACTTTAGGATTATTCCTAAATTATTTTGTGCTTACCTGAGGGCAAAAATCTCTCTTTCAATCTCTCTCTGTGTGTATGTGTGTTCTCCAGTACTAACTATAAGAGCTGTTCACACAGAAGTGTGATCTGCTAGGTGTGTAACCAGATTTTCCCCAACAATGCACTGACTGGTTCATGGCAGTGCAGTGGAACAAATGTTGGAATGAGATGATACCTGACACCTACGTTCTCCTTCCAGCTTTATTGCTAACTGGTGTTTATACTTATATTCTGTTTGATCATCTACAAAATGGGGTTGTTTGTTTTAAAGGAGATATTTATATTAATTTAAGAAACAAGAATCAGTTGCATCAAATTGAAATTAAATTTTTTCATAGCTTCACAAACAGCTGTTCCTTTTGCAGCAAAAGATGAAACTTATTAGATTTTTATGTTATTTTATTAAAATGCAGAATATTTTATTAATCAATATGTTTAATCATACTGACGTTATAGTTCTGGTATATTAATCACACCACTTAAGCTTAAGAAAGCACCTATTTCCTAGGAGCTTCAATGCTTACAAGAATGATATACCATGAGTAAACATACACACAATTTTAGGTGAAAAAGCATTGCAAATGGTTAGTGTTTCACTTCTGATGACTTCTTCTATTCATTCAAAATGGGCAGTGGGCTGTGTTTTAGGACTTTTCCTTTGCATATTTTCTGGGCACAAAGCAGACATTCAAGGGATAAAACTGTATTATTTGGTGTAGTATTATGTGATATGTTGTATATAAATGTTTAAGGAAAATAATTAGAAAAAAATAGGTCAACTGAAACAGAAGATAAGCCACAAACTGGGAGAAAGATCTGTAAAAGGCCTGTTATCAAAAATATACAAAGAATTCTTAAAACTCAACAAGGAATGACACAATTAAAAAATGGGCAAAAGACCTGAACAGGTTCCTCACCAAAGATGATAATATACAGGTAATAGGCCTATGAAAAGATGTTCACCATAATATGTTATTAGGAAATTGCAAATTAAAACAACAATGAAATATTATTACACACCTACTAGACGACCAAAAACACTGGCCACACCAAATACTGTGAAGAATGTGGAGGAACAGGATAATCGCTAGTAGGAGTGCAAAATGGTACAGCCACTTTGGAGGACAGTTGGCACTTTTTTACCAAATTAAACACACTTTTACTGTATAATCCAGTGACTGTGCTCCTTGGTATTTACCAAATGAACTGAACATTTATGTCTACACAAAAACCTATACACAAATGTTTATAGCAGCTTTATTCATAATTGCCAAAAGTTGGAAGCAACCAAGATGTTCTTCTGTAGGAGGATGGACAAATAAACGGTGATATAGCTAGACAATGGAATACTATTCAGCATAAAAAGGAATGAGTTATCAAGCCATTAAAAGGCATGAAGGAATCTTAAATATATATTACTGAGTAAAAGAGGCCAATCTGAAAAGAGTACATACTGTATGATTCCAACTATATCACATTCTGGAGAGAGTTAAAGAGGTCAAGGGTTAGCAAGAAGGTAGGGATGAATTGGTGGAACATAGAAAGATTTTTGGACAGTGAAATTATGCTGTATGATATTATAATGACAAATACATGTTATTACACATTTGTCAAGACCAACAATGAACCCTAATGTGACCTATGGACTCTGCGTGACACTGTGTCAGAGTAGGTTTCTTAACTGTAACAAATGTACCACTCTGATGCAGGATATCAATAGTAGGGGAGGTTGTATGTGTGTGAGGCAGGACGTATATGGGAACTCTGTATTTTCTGTAATTTTGCTGTAAACCTAAATGTGCTCTAAAATGTTTTTTATTAAAAGAGCAGAGTATATTTTGTCCTTCCTTTTCCCCCTGCCCATCTTATAGAGAAGTGACCTCAAAGACTTCTCAACAGAGTGAATAATTAATTGCAAATACGGTGTAATAATATTATCACAGAACTGTTTATGTGGACATGTTTAAAAGGACATGAAGAAGTAAATCAACCCTTCTTAGGGACATTAAGAAAGGCTTGCCAGAGGATGTGATGACTGAGTCTTCTGACTAAGGAATTTTCTAAACTGAGAAAGGAGATTGTGGTGGTTAGGGGATAATCTTCTAGGAAGGGAAATAAACATAGGCATAAGCAGGGGATCTCGTGTCCACCGTGGAAGCAGTAATTAGCTTGGTATGGTCAGAATGGGAAGCAGATGAGGCTGGAGAGGAAAACAGGCCTAGGGATGGAGGGTTTCCTATATTCACTTGAGCAGTTTGTATTTAACCCTGGGGTCATGGGAAGCACTGAAGAATTTTAATTGGTGATGCAGGTATGATCAGAGTTAGACAGAAAAGAGATTTAAGGGGAGGCAGGATTAGAAGAATGGAGACCATTAAATATGCCAAGGGTTATAATCTAGTTAATGTTGGAGCCATCATTCAAACTGAGGCTTATTTTGCTACACAGCTTAGGGGATGTGGATGATGGAGTGGGTTTTAGAAGAATGGTGAAGATCTGGAAGACCAGTAAGTAATGGAAGAAGCTAATGTATGGAATTTATAAGGATCACCAAAGAGACTTTGGCCCCTGCTGAGATACGTAAATTGAATGCAACAACTTGAATAGCTGTATACTCTTCTCTAGTTGTGCTTAATGGCCTAGAAATAAAAATGAAGGGAAAAGAAAGACTGATCCAAGTTTGTGGATTCTTAGAGTAGGTTGTAGTGGAAGGAAGAAGAGGCAAAAACAAGTTGAAGGTGGTGGAAAAAAGTTGAAGTGATACACCACAGGATTTAGATTGGATGAGGGAAGTGGTAAAGCCAGAAGGGGCCTATGGATTGAGGGAAAAGGGTCAGGGTTAGAGCGTTGTTTATACTCTTTTATATCTACTGATTGGTACTTGCCATTGTTCTTCTATGTTTTTTTATAAATTTTTTGTTGTTGTTGTTACAGATGTTTCTCCTTTTACCCCATTGGCACCCCCTCCCCATCCCCCACTTTGTTGTCCATGTCCATTGGTTATGCATACATGCATATAAGTTCTGTGGTTTATCTCTTCCCACCCCCACCACCCCCTATTCTGGGGGTTGTCAGTCTGTGCCCTACTTCCATGTTTCTGGGTCTACCGTATTCCTCAGACTGTTATGTTCATTATATTCCATATATAAGTGAGATCATGTGGTATTTGTCTTTTTCTGCTTGGCTTATTTCACTTAGAATAATACTTTCC